CCCTTCCACTCCACACCACACCACACCCCGCGCCCCTTCCACTCCACTCGACCCTAAACGCCCTGTACCCTCCCACTGCTCTCCCACGATTTGGCCTAACTGGCACCCACCCATTCCCGGGTTTAGTCTGAAGCACGGGAGTCACCATCTTTTACCCCCTGCTGTGTTCCCACAGGAAAAGCTGCAGGAGGAGATTGCTTCATTCCAGGATCGAACAAGTGCTTTCACTGCCTTCCTCAACGTGGAGGAGGACAAGATCCCCTTGGTCAAGGTAGCCCCAGGGACACTTCAGAATTCTTCCTCTGGAAATCAATCTTTCCTTCCCACACCCCTGATTAATGGACATGGGATGGGCCTCTTGGAAATTCTGAAGCCTATCTATTGGAACAAGCCATTCGCAGTGTTGTGAATTGGAGGTTGATAAATGTGGCTAGTTTATATTACTGGCTGGCATTAAACAGGGCTTTGCTGCTAAATGTGTTCTGAGATGTTGAATTACACTTCTGGTGTTCCTTTGGGGCTTGAACCTGTATCGCCCTGGTCCAGAGATAGTGTCTCTATCACACTCCAGCCCTGTGATGATATCAGTACAACTCATGCTGATATGGAGGTCAGCCGCAGTTCAGCAACTTGGCATCTGGATTGCAAGGTTGTGGGTACTGGTGCAAAACATGGGTTTGAGCACAAACGTTAATGCTTTCTAATGTTTCTCACCCACCCCCTTGGAGATTTTGTTTATTTCATACGTGTTTTATACAGTGCAGCCTATTTCTTCACATCTTTCTTCAATGTGCTTGACGTTTCCTTTTGTAGAAAAATGCTGAGTCGCTGCGACAGCACATTAAGGAGCAGTTTGCTCAAATGCATGGTTTCCTCTGCGAGCAAGAAGCTGCTTTGACCCGGGACTTGGTGGAGCACGAGAGATCCGTTCTGACCCTGATCCGAGAGAACCTGCAGAAAGTCCAAGAGGGGCTGTCTTCGCTGGGTGCTCGGCTGGCTAAGCTGATCAGTCAACAGGCCCAGGGCGATGACATTGAATTCCTGAAGGTAAGAGCAAGGGACCTTGTTCAAATGGAGCCAGACCAATGGGGCCCACAACTGTTACAAGTGCCCCTTTCTGCTTTTGTAGAGATTGTCCTGAGGTTATTCACTTCCTGGGGCAAACAAACTCAAACCTGAGCCACGGAGGAGATTTTGGGGCCGAAGGTCAAAGGTTTGGTCAATGAGTTGGATTTTAAGGAGCATCTGAGGAGGAATGAGTCAAATCCAGAACTTGGGGGGGCCTTAGCAATGGAAGGTGTGTCCATTAATGGTGGGATAAGTGCTGAAGAAATAGGAGCAGAGACAGGCTGTTCAGCCCCTCAAACCTTGTTCCCCCCCTTTAATATCCTGGCTGCTGGGATCGTGTTCTCAACTCCACTCACCTGCCTGTCCCCAGTAAGCCTCAAGTTATTTGACTATCAAAGGTATATCTCAGTCCTGAATAAATTCCATCTCCACTGCTCTCCATTGAAAAAAAATACCCACTGAAAGAAGAAATTCCTCCTTGTAGTCTTAGGCTGCCAAGTTAAAACTTGGGGGATTTTAAACTAATTGGATCAGTTAGGGAAGAATTCAGTGAAACAAAGTAGGGTCAAGGGAAAGGTACTGTTACAGGAAATGATCAACAAACGTAGACAGGAGGGGATAGAGAGTTATGAATCTAAGATTCAATCAACAAAGACTGTACTTTACAAAGAGTAAAAGGATACAACTGAAGGCTGTATATCTGAATGCATTTAACAAATGAAACACAATGGATGAGCTGAGGATACAAATGGAAGTTAATGCTTGCTATAGCTAGGCATTGCAGAGAGGTAGCTGCGGGATGACCTGGATTGGGACCTGAATCTTTAAGGATACAGGAGATTTCAGAATGACAGGAATCTAGGCCAGCTGACAGGAATCTAGGCCAGCTGACAGGAATCAGACAGATGTAAACGGATCTCTTCTCAAGTTGGCAGACGTGCTGAGTGATGTGCCGCAGCGATCAGTGCTGGGACCTCAACTCCTTACAATTTACATAAATGATGTCATGGGGGGAGGGGGCATGGATCGAGGGCAGCACGTGGCTCAGTGGTTAGCACTGCTGCCTCACAGCACCAGGGACCTGGGTTTGATTCCAGCCTCCGATGACTGTGTGGAGTTTGCACATTCTCCCTGTATTTGTGTGGGTTCTCTGTGGGTGCTCTGGTTTCCTCCCACAGTCCAAAGATGTGCAGGTTGGGAGGACTGGCCAGTTAAATTGTCCCATAGTGTCCAGGGATGTGCAGGCTAGGTGAGTTAGCCATGGGGAAATGCACAGTTACAGGGATGGAGGGGGAAGAGAAATGTGTCTGGGATGGATACTCTTCAGAAGGTGGAGTCAATGTAGATCTGATGGGCCGGATAGCCTGCTTCCACACTGTAGGATTCTATGATCTACAAACTGCTGTAAGAAATGTTTGCCACATTCATCGATGATGGTTTGGGGAAGTAAGTTGTGAAGAAGGCACAAAAAAGACAATAGCCAGCTTCAGTAGACAAAGCTGTAGCGAATAGAATATAATATGGAACTGTCCATTTTGGAAGGAAAAACAGGAAAAAATGGTAAGAGGTTAGAGTTCTGAGATGCAGAGATATCTGGGTGTCCTGGTGCATGAATCCTGGGCATACTGCAAATAATTGGGAAAGTTACCAGAATGTTATCATTTATCACAAAGGGAATTAAATACAAAAGTAAGGAGGTGATGCTTCAGCTATACAGATCACTGGTAAGACCACCTTTGGAGTACTGTACAGATTGTTGGTCTCCTTATTTAAGGAATGAATTTTATGTTGGAGGTAGTTCAGAGGAGGTTTACTAGACCAACGGCTGGAATGGATGGGTTTGATATGAGGAAAGGTTAGATGTGTATCACTGGAGTTTGGAAGTGAGAGGTGCCTATTAAAGCAAATAAAATCCTGAGGACAGACTGAGTGGGTATATGGTGAGAGAATGTTTCTTTTTCTGGGAGAATCTAGGACCAGAGGTCCATGTTTACAAATCAGGGCTACCCACTTAAAACAGAGGGTTGAAGTTTTCTGAGGGTCATGAATGCTTGGAACTCCCTTCCTGAAAAGATGGTGAAAGCAGTCCTTCGATGTTTTAATCACTGGGCACAGTGGCTCAGTGGTTAGCACTGCTGCCTCACAGCGCCAGGGACCTGGGTTCGATTCCAGCCTTGGACGACTGTGTGCAGTTTGCATGTTCTCCCCGTGTCTGCATGAGTTTCCTCCCATCCAAAGAAGTGCGGGTTAGGTGGATTGGCCGTGCTAAATTACCCATAATGTCCAGTCATGTGCAGGCTAGGTGGGTTAGCCATGGGAAATGTGGGGTGGGGATGGGTGGAACGTTCCTCAAAGGAGCAATGTGCACTGGATGGGCTGCATCTGCACTCTAGGGATTCTATGAATCCCGTGTTGGATGAAACAAGGTCAAACTAACTGTTTTCTCTCTCGTATATTTTTCAGGAGTTAAGCAAACAAAGGTAGGTGCCCGGTCTCCTGGCCCCGTCTCTGATATAAGATGCATGTTCCTGCTCTTGCAACATCACCAATCAGTGTGTCCACAGGCCTGATGATATCCAACTGCCCACTGAAGCAGCTACAGACCTGCCCCTGGGAATATTCAAAGGACCACTGCAGTACAAAGTATGGAAAGAGATGAAGGACTTCATCAGCCCAGGTAAAGAGAGATCTTTTCCCATGGACTTTTGTGTGGGGTTTTAATTTAGAGCTGGGCGGCTCACCACCTCAAGGGCAACAGGGGATGGGAAATTAATGCCAGCCCAGCCAGTGATACCCAAAAGAAAACATTTTTCTTTCTTTAAAAAAAAAATTGCTGATGTGGAGCTTCCCACGTTACTGTAATCCTTGTTTGGACCTGTCTCGGACTTCAACAGAACTCCTCCCTGATCAAAGCAAATTACTGTGAAATCTAGAACAGGAAACGGAAAAAGGCTGGAGAAACCCAGCAGGTCTGAAATGGGGCCATACCAAAGCCTTGAAATGTTAATTTGGTTTCTCTGTCTCTGGATATAGCCAGACCTCCTGAGTTTCTCTGGAATTCCTTCCCATCCTCCTGCTATAGATTTGGTATAATTCATTCACCAATCTCCCCCAAGTAGAACCTTAAAATTATCCTTAATATTTATCCACCTCAATTTGCTCCAAGCTTTTCTAAAATGCTTTCTGCTTTAGCTAAAGCCATGATATGATTTAGACAGGCTGAGTGAACAAGTGCAGTATAATGTGGTAAACGTAGGTAGGGAGGGGAATCAGAACCAGTATTACTTAAATAGGGGTAAATTGGAACTTGAGAACTTAATAGCTAGGAGCAGGAGTAGCCCTTCAGCCTGCTGTGCTGTTTAATGTGATCACGGGTGATCTCATCTTGGCCTCACTCCACTTCCCTTCCTGCTCCCCATAACCCTTCAGCCCATTACTAATTAAAAATCCATCTCTCCTTAAATTTACTGAATGTCATGGCATCTACTCCACTCTGGGGTAGTGAATTCCAGATTTATGACCCTTTGAGAGAAGTAATTCGTCCACATCTGTTTTTAATCTGACATCCTTCAGACTAAAACAATGACCTCTCATTTCAGTTTGCCCTGCAAGGGTAAACATACCCTCTACCTCTACTTTGTCAAACCCTTCGGCATCTAGTGCACCTCAATTACAGCCCTCATTCTTATAAACTTGAGTCAATATAGAACTGAACTGCTCAATTTCTCCTCATTTCACCTCTGGAATAAATCAAACCATTGAACTGCCTCAAACTGTATGCAGTATTCCAGATAATTGGGATGTTGCCACCAATGGAAGGTCTGCGTTATAAAGAGGGGTTGGATTGGCTGGGACATTTCCCACTGGAGGATAGGCGGTTGATAGGTGACCTTAGAGGTTTAGAAAATCATGAGGTGTATAAATAAGATGAATGGCAGGTGTCTGTTCCCTAGGGTGGAGGATATCAAGACTAAGGGGCATATTTTTAAGGTGAGAGGAGAAAGATTTATAAAGGGTATGGGGGGCAACTTTCCTTACACACACATTCGTGTGTAGAATGAACTTCCAGAGGATGTGGTGGATACGGGTACAGTAACAACGTTTAAAAGACATTTGGATAAGCTCATGAGTAGGAGGTTTTGAGGGATATGGGCCAGGAGCGGGAAGATTGGACTAGTTCAGTTTGGGATTATGATCAGCATGGACTGGTTGGACCAAAGGGTCTGTTTCTGTGCTCTATGACTCTAAGTTGCACAGAACTTTTGATGTACAAAGAAACCTAGGAGTCCCCCCTCGCTGAAAAATGAGCATGTCGGTGCAGCAAGCACTTAGGAAAGAAAATGTTGGCCTTCATTGCAGGGTCTTGAGTACAAGATCAAGGAAGTCTTAACTGCGGCTGTACTGGTAAGATCAGACTTTTCGGGTATTGCAGCAGTTTTGGCCCCTTTTGTAATAAAAAGCCATGCTTGCCATTGGTGTACAGTGAAGGTTTGCCAAACTGATTCCTAGAGTGGCGGTTTCCTCAATGAGAGTTTGAGTTGTCTGGGCCTGGATTTTGGAAGAATGAAAGGGGGATTTCATTGAAGCACAGTTCTGACAGGGCTGGATGGGTTGAATGCAGGAATGATGCTTCCCCTGGTTGGGTGGAACATCCAAAACAAGGGGTCACAGTCTGAGATACATGTTGAAATATTTCAGATTTGGACAGAGAGTTCTTCACTCATTCAGCGATGAGCCTGTGCAATCTTCTACCCTAGATGTCTCTGGAGGCCAAGTCACTGAACGTGTTTAAGAAATACGTGGATTTCTAGGGGCTATAGGTGTCGAGAGCTATGGGGATAGAGTGAAACTATGGTGTTGAGACAGCCGTGATGTTGAATGTCAGGTTGTGCTGGAGGGGCTTAAAGACCTATTTTCCATAATTCAGTATAAAGTAGAATTCCTTGTACATCGTCCCTTCAATCTCTCCCAGG